CATCTCAAATTAGCCAAGCTCCGAGCCAGTAAAGCCGGGATTAGCCAAAGGAATTGTCTCTAGATTTTCAGTAGATAGCAATGCTAAAAGAGAAGATAAGATAACTGTGCTATTCACTTGGCATATTTACAATCTGAGCAACATTTCAGAAGGAACACAATTTGCCTGTGGCATCTTCCAACCTGACACTGCCACATATACCTGGCACTCTGTACTTGATGTTCATCTGAAACACCAGGAATAAGGAAAGAAAACATAGGGTTCCTACTGATAAAATTCAGTCAACAGCAGGGGAGACATCATGGGCAGCTAGTTCCAGAAATAATTCCTCTGGAGGGCTTTCCATCTCCTGGGAGAAAGGGAGTCCAAAGAAACAGCATTTCAGCCCTTCGGTCACTCTCCAAACAGTAACAGTTATTCTAAGAATCCTAGCTTAAAGCAGAAACAAGTACATACATGATACACTGTATGCTTCAAGGAACCTTCAGCTTCCTAGCTTACTGTACATTCGGACAGGAAAACTGAAGGTCACTGCTACCCAGGGTTAGGAAGCAGGGGAGGAGCTGAGGCGCAGACGCTGTAATTCAGCCCAACCGTACCTCATTAGTACATCATGCTATATTCTACAGTTAGGGGATTCTCCATCCTTCCTGGAGTGGGCTTCAAGATCTTGAAAGTAAACGCAGTCCAGACCAGGATACACTGCCATCGAGTCTGCCAGTTCTAAGACAACAGTAGTGCTGCTTCGGCCAACAATTTCTTGGCATCCAAACACGTTAAAATGACACTGGCAGCAGCTCCAGCTCTTTTCTTTCACCCTCTGCTGTTACTATAGCTCCTTTTGCTAAATCTGCCTCTGAGTTTAGACAGGAGCTGGATGGTTCATAATCACCCAGCAGCTGCAGCTGAGCAATACTCAGCCTAATTGTGGCATTGCAGCAGCTGAGAGGAAGAGAAAATACATACCTACCATGGCCGTACACACTGCACATACACACCGCCACACACACTACCAAGAAAGCACTGGATCAGGGCACCTTAACAGCAACAGATGATTTCCTTTAAAGAAAAGCAGCGGTTGCTCACTGGAGGATTAGTATTTGTATTATAAACCTGTTTAAATGTGAACTGACGGTGACCTAAGCCATGTAAGGGCTCTGAACAATGGCTCACTCAACTTCCTGTAAATATTCACACAACAAAACCAGAATCACAAACATCACCTTTCTAATATGACAAAGTTCCTGCGATATAAGATTCTGGCACAGATGTGATTTCTTCTTCAACTCTGTGTTATAACAATAAAAAGCAACATCAACTGAAGCAGCAAGCAAGCCATTATCTAAATTAAGTAAAGGCAACAATTCTCTACATTTCTGCAACCCAACACCATCTTGTCATGTGCTTTCTTCTCAAACAAAACCCTATTTTTCTTTCAGGTATTATAGACCTGCAGGAAAATTTATTTTAAACTGAGAATTTCATGGCATCCTGTAGAACATCAAAACAAAGGCTGAAATTACTGATCTAAAGAATTACTGTTCTACCAAACTGAAAATGGAAGAAGATTTAAGTCTGATGCCATGAAGTTTTGAGATCTGTCATGTTAATTTTCTGAAAGATGAGGCAGGTGACTGAACAGTATTCATTCACTAAACATTTTGATTACCTGCTATTCGTCACTTACACCATTTAAAATTGGTAAATCCTAGTACCTTCCCTCAAAACATTAAAACAATTCACATACTAAAGAAAGAATTTTATTACGAGTATTTTTTCAAAATGCTCCGTCTACTGTTCCTTTGGAAGTCAGTATGCAACATTTCCAAGGCTTGTTATAAACACTTGCTGTTCTATGATGATTATTGAATCTAGTCCTGTTTGCAAAGGACAAGCCAGAGACTATTTCAAAGTGTGTCACCAAATGTAAAGTTCTTAATCCAAGCATTTCATAGACTGCATTACACACAGATTTCTTTTTTTAAAAGTTTCATGTAAAATAAAGTACAGATATATAGAAGCACACCAAACAAATATAAGGTTTAGTGAATTATATTAAGGCCAAAACCACTGAGACAGGGTAAAACAGTTTTGTACTAGGTCAGAATCCAAGTCCCAATCCACAGCCTCTTCCTTCCTCCCTTATCTTTACACTGATTGAAAACAGTTCAAGTTTTTCAAAAACATGGTTTTTATCACCTAAGTTTCATTCTTAGACACAAAGTTTAGAGCTGTTTTTCAAATTTTTTGATTATTAGCCTTTCATATAATGCTAGTAAAACTAATAAATTATGCCCACACTGAACTGACTCACTACACTGAGAACTAAATATACTTGTAAAGAAAAATTACTCATAGTAATTAACTACTGCCTAAAATAATGAAATATCAACTCTGAATGTCTCACACTATGGGTTGGTAATAGTTCATTTATACTAGGTTACTGCTTTTAGCATATTTATTCTTTTACTATTACCAACAATGGAAGAGTTTATTTGCATAGACTTTTCTTCAGCTTGAGAATTTCTTAAGCTAATATATACACAGATATAGAAAGAGATACATAGATGTATATATAGATAGATGACCATGTATTAATATCATACTTTGACCGTAAGACAAATTCCACCTATCCCTGGAAGATAGGTCAAGGCTGTAATTTCACTTTCGGTTGAACAGAAAGGAGTCAATTTTGTGGTTTATGAAGTCAGCAAAAACTAACTACAAAATTAAAGCTATTATAACATTCTGGTGGTTACAGCAGAATACGTATTTTAAGAGCCCTTTTATCTTTTATCCTGGAAACGTGAATATGAACAGTCTTGTACTTAGATTTAGATTAAAGGCATTTTTTTTTTCAATCTTAGTACCCCCTAAACTACCACATAGTATTTAAACTCTTTATTGAAAGTTAGGTAGTGCCCAAAACTTAAGATACAATTAAAAGCCAACGTGGAAGGGGTCTCACATATTTGTGAGGGGAAAAAAATGCCTTTGTGAAACACTTTCTTCCAATACAATGTATAACTATCTTCTGTGATGTACTCAAGATCCATGGCTTCTAACTCAAGACATTCTTGTATTATCTGTCCATGCAAAATGTTTCCTGTCAACCGCCGCCAACATCATGCTAGTTAAAATAATAAATTTAACGCTTACTTTGCTTTAAACGCACAGCCACACGTAGACATTTAGTAGTATTTCTCCTGGCAAGTAATTTAACTTTAGAAACTTAGCAGGATGGCTTAACCATACTCAGAATTACCAAGATCCTTTTGGCGCTGCAATCCTATGGTTACAGCGCACTGACACACGACGATCGTGTCCTACAAATGTGAAATCGTCGCTGTGAAAACACCAGTTGGACATGGATACGCAAAGAATGGCACGCACGGAAAGCTGAGGTTCTATCAGACTTTCTGTTCACTTTAACAACGTATCAATCATTACACCGTATGTTATCCCATGCCTGCTTTAACCCATCAAGAAAAACAAATACATCAACCAAATCCAGACTCCCCAAAAGAAAAACTAAAGCAGTCCTTTCGGTACCAGACATCATTTTTTCCAAGTGCTTCCTAAAACAACTCTGCCCCGTGCCCGACACAGCCAAAGCTGGAAGCAATTATCAAGAAGAAAAACACACTCGGAAACAAAATTCTCTTTAACCCGTGCGGACAGGGACGCGAAGCCAAGGCGGGCGGCGGGTCGCCCTCCGTCCAGGGGACGCGGACGTGCTTCCACCCCGACCCGAGACAAAGGGAAACTTTAAACCCGCTGCGGTCTTCCATCAAACCCGCGGCCGCCGAGCCGCTCTCCCGGCACCGCCGCCACCGGCGCCCGGGGACACGCACGCGGGCAGCCT